CTAGACCAATCGCGACGTGAGAGTCTTATCGATCGATCTAGAACCCACGACAGTATATAAACGGTTCACAGGCCACAAGACGTGTCATTTCTTGATAGTATTTGTGCGTGCACTCTGATATTATTTTTTATTTTCAATATTATTTATTCGTCGCTATGGCAACAAGAGGTTGTGTAAATGACCCAAGCATATTCTGTTATATTTGTGGTAAATTCGTTATAAAGAAACAAAAGCAAATCATTACAGAATTCGTCAAAAAAGCGTATTACGCGTATATTGGAATGTAACTTGAGGACCAAGACAAATCAAGGGCTTTGCACAAAGTTTGCACCGTTTGTGTCGAAGAGTTGAGACAGTGGACTAAAGTTAAAAAAAAGTCTTTGCCTTTTGGAATTCCAATAGTCTGGAGTGAGCCTAGAAACCAAGGAGATGACTGCTATTTTTGCTCATGCAATAGCCACGCAGAGTCAGCCTGATACCAGGATCGAAAAACATTGAAGGTGAAAGTTTTGTTGACACAAAGAAAGTCTTATTACCTCCACTTCACATAAAACTGGGCTTGATGAAGCAGTTTGTAAAGGCCTTAGACAAAGATGGCGAATGTTTCAAGCATCTATGTGGGCAATTCCCAGCTCTTTCAGAAACTAAACTTAAAGAAGGGATTTTTGTTGCGCCTCAGATTAGGAAATTGTCTTTGGATGAACAGTTTAAAAGGACAATGAGGAAAGCTGAAAAAGAAGCGTGTATTGCCTTTAAAGGTGTTATTGACAATTTTTTATGAAACAACAAGGACCCAAATTACGAAAATATCGTCAATCACATGCTGGGATAAATGAGTTGGGTTGTAATATGAGCTTGAAAGTTCATTTCTTACACTCACATATTGACTATTCCCTCGGTAATGTCAGCGAAGAACAAAGGGAAAGGTTTCATCAAGACATCAGGGAAATGGAGAGGAGGTATCAGGGAAGGTGGAATATCAGGTTGGTGGCTAATTACTACTGGTCATTGAAACGAAATGCTCCAGGCGCAATATATAAAAGACCACAACACGTAGTTTTGAGACTAAATAACGTATATTTCACAAAAAAAAACATCAGGATGAATGATGAAGGAAATTCACATGACATCAATGTTCTTCCCTTTCCTTCACTTTGTTTGTATTTTTGTTAACAAACATAATAATAAAAAATTTGCTAATTGTGGTAAACGAAATAATAATTTTCTTCCAAATTTGTAAAAATCTCTTACGTGAAAGAAAAATAAAAGAATATTATTTTCGAAATCTGCGTAGTTGGATTATGGAAAATTTGTTATTAAAACCAAAACATCCTTTATGGGGTTTAAATTTGCAGGGCTGTGTTATTTAAGTGTGAAATAGATGATTCTTTAAAAATTGAGTTCATGTGAAAAAGTTGATAATATTCCAATAAACCTTTCTTTTAAGGCAATCGTTTTGATTCATTCTTTTTTTGCAAGTTATAATAAAAAAGCGTAAAATATATGATAAATATTATTGTTTTCCAGGTCTGGTTCAGTAACAGAAGGGCTCGTTACAGAAAACAGCTGGGACACCATCAAGTAACGAGTTTCAGTCCAGCAGCAGCCTTATCTTTAGCTATGGGCTACCCTCAACTTTCAGCTTCAGTTACGCCACATTATCCATCAGGGGGCGAATCTAGTAACGGTAACTCTCTTCAATACAATGTTATGTCAAACTGTTGGAGTAGAAGTTCAAATTACGTCACTGTAGGAAGAAAAATTGAGTCTTCTTAACTTTAAACAATCACTGCAAACAAGGGCCACTTTCGATTTTAAGAATAAATTAAAATATTATGACTTTATAACCTATAAATTAAATTGGCACAGTTGAGCAAATGGTTAATGTGTTAATAGGTACGACTGGATTTATGTCCTTTATTATATCTCATAGACCGGTATTATCCTACATTAGTGCATGCGATGACACTCAGTAGGATAACAGAATAGCAATTGTTAGACGTGACACATCTTTGGATATGATTTTTGTAAGTTTGAAACTGAGAGAGGCTCACCCCCATCCCCTCCTCCGCCTGTTGGTTAGGTGCTTTAAAAACAAAAGTTTCTGGCTACACTGTCGAATATGTGTCTTTACATCACTCCTGTTTTAATTCGAATAAACTAATAAAGTGAGTTCGACCCCCTCCTCCACTCAGTTTCAGTTTCAGATTCTAAAGTAAAATTTACAGCAGTTAATATGACATCCTAGGAAGTTATACTAAACATTTGACAATATGGCTTATGTTAGTTATAAAATGTTTGCTTTTCAGATGAAGTGAAAATTTCACCGATCTTATCAATCACGCGCATTAATCATAGAACAATGTCCATGTATAAAATCACGCTTTAAATGTTATATCTGACAGGCAATACCAACTGGACACGCCCTCATCCTTGTCAAATCCTCACCAATCCGGTCCATACAAATCTTTCCCAGAACAATTGTACGTCGCATTCCTCCTATCCATCCTGTACCTTTGAAACCTGTATAAATGGAGCTCCATTATCCCAGCAAGTAAGTGTGGGTTTTAGCTTCGTTTTACAGCACTGATTTATTAAAATTTATTTAAAAAAGTGATTAATACAAAATAAAATAAAAAACACAATAACAAACAGATAAAAAAACACATTTAAGTACTTAGGGTAAGGCTGTGGCGATCGCATGTTAATCCTAGTCAGTTTAGTAGCTATATGATCACTTAAGTCTAATTATTAATTTTTTTATTAATTAATAACTAGATTTTTTTACCAACGTTTAGACTGCTATAAATTGCTGTCCACTAGTACTCGAACCTGAATCGTCTTGATAGAAAGGCTGGTGTGCTATCTATTCGTGCTGCCCCCCAGTGGCACAGCGCTATTTCTGCGGACTTACAACGCTAAAAACCGGGTTTCGATACCCGTGGTGGGCAGAGCGCAGATAGCTCCTGTGTAGTTTTGTGCATAATTAAACACAAACAAACAAACCATTCGTGCTCCCCCCCCACTCACCTTCCCCTCTCAATAAGATTTTTAACTAACTTAGCAACCTAGCATAGAAATCAGCAGGACCTGGGTACCTGTTCCAGCTTTTTTATTATTCAAATCTGAAATAAACATTCAGTTCAATTAGTTATGCAAGTTATTCCAAGATGTGAATAGCACATCAGCCTTTCTATCAAGTAGGCCTAAGTTCAAATCCCAGCTACTATCACAACAGCGGTAGTCCTTCTCAGGATTTCCTTGAAGTCGGCACCAGATTAGCAGCCGAAATCTAGGATAAAAATTAGTTAGTCATCAATAATTAAAATCTTAAATAATAAGTAAGTAATAATTAACTTAAGTGTCGTATATTTTATGAACCATGACAAAGAAAAACATGTATATTGCACCAAAACGAGTTAAAAGTTAATGTTGTTTCTAGTTATAAGTTACATTTTATTTGGTTATACACCAGCAGTTTTATGACTTAGTCAAGTTCATATTTAACTTAAGATTAATTTTTGAATTATTATCAATATTTTTTCATCATGTTTCTTCCGTGATTGAATATTTTTCATTTATATAATCAATGTTCTTGCACTGTTTAGCTGATGAATCAATACGTTAAAATCGTGTTGAAAATGAATTACCATCCATCAATTTTCTTTTGTTAGGCTTTTTTTTATCAACATTAAACAAATAAACACATATTTTACATCATATTTGTCTCTTTCCAAACCTTTCCTTTCTTTTGCTTCCCTTTTTCTCTCACTTGTGTTTTTTCTTTTGTTGTTGTTTTTAAGCAGAACATTTTAGAAGTTAGTGAAGCACGGTATACAATATCATTCCAGCAATAAACGAAAAAAAAAAAAAAAGAAGACAAGCTTTTCTTGCGAATTTATTGTTATTAATTGTTTTAGATGCAAAGTTTTCTTGGAGCTCCAGGAAATTCTCTAACAAATGTTATATCAACGGAATTCAACCCTCAAATTCCACCGATCAACAGTGGTAACGAGATTTCGTGGGTAGCACCGTCTCTTGGTGGACGGAGTGACTCTTTAGGTCCTATGACACC